AAAAAATTATATATACAACACAATTTCTAAACTTAAATTTATAGGCAAATAATATATATTTATTATATATTATTTTTATTATATTTATTATTATTATTATAATATAAAATATATTTTAAATTAAACACCCGTACATAGCACGAATAAATATATACTTATTTACTAATATTTTTATGATGTACATTTAATATTTTTATTCAATTAAAATTATAGGAAATGAGCCATAAATAGAGAGGATCCTAACTCATGATTTACCATAAGTGCGTGCTCTTAAATAAATGAAGAAAAAAAAAATGAACAATTACAGTACGCATATATATGTTTGTGGACTTTATTAAGTTGATTTAAAATATATTCGAATAATTCATTAGCTGTCATTGTAGTTTATAAAATAAAAAATATATTTTATTCTCGCGAAAGAACAAATTTTTTTCCCTCTTTTTCACCGTGATTTTGGTACTCAAAATCGATTGTATTTTCTAAACACACTACACATTACTTTTCTAAAATTTAAGTCGAAGTAACATGTTATAAGCTTTGGACAATATTTACATATAGTTTTTTTAAAAAAATTTAATGGTATGATTTAAATATATTTTTAGTCTCTAAAATTTAAGATTAGTTTATTTTTTATCTTTCAAAATTTAAAATAATTTGTTTTATTATAATAATAAATAAATAAATTAATCATTTTGACCATTTCAACCATCATTAACAATGTCAAATTTTGTCGGTTTAAATCAATCTTACTGTAACATTTGAATTTGATGTAATATATATCCAATAAAAAAGAAAATTTTATGCGACAAATTCATTAATAAATAACAAAAGCACTAAAAGAAAAGTTGAAGTAAGATTTGTGAATAATGGATGAGGTGAAAAGCAAGATGATATGAAGAGAATTAGCGTAAAGAAGAAGAGTGAGAAGTTGCTTACAAGGATACAACATTGCCATGGGAACACTCTACTCCGAACCATGAGCAAGGATCAATCCCTCCTTCTTCTTTGCCATTCCAACTCCACAAAGCATCCATTGGGTCTCTCACCAACCTCTCTCTCATCTTTTTCAACGCCAACCCTACACCACATCTTCAAAACTTAATTACGTACGATTTCAATTAATGTCCTTAACTTTTATCATGTTAATAAAAATATACATAAGCTAGCTAGTTTTTACACATGATCATGGATCGTCTAAAACCCATCTCATAAATCTAGGAAACAACCTCAAAAAACAAAGACATGCAACAATAGCAGTGAGTGTGAGAGACCTTGGGTATTGAGAGTCGAAGACGAAACAGGTTCCATGGTGAAGGGAGACAGAGACAAAGACAAAGACATGACCGCCACAAAGACGCGGAAGAGCTTCAACCAACTCCACGCTTCTTCCATTGTCTTCTCATGAATCAATGTTAGTACATCATATATGGATCTTATAAATTTCTTCTTCTCATATATCTTGAAACTTGAAAGAGAAAGAGGATATATATATATATATATGTGTATAGAGAGAGAGAGAGAGAGATTAGAGAACAAAATGATTGGAGAAAATCAAACTCACCAACACAAAATGAAAAAGGGTGGATTTATTCAGCGTTTCAGATGATTGATTGTGTCATGGAGTTGGAGAAGTCGTAAACTCATCTTCTTCTATTTATACAGCTAATATCTACTCCTCACCTCCTATATACAAACGCACGTGTCGTATACCTTATGTATTAAACCAGTGCCTTAACTGTAAAGTGCTGGTTTCGATAAAATAATTTTTTTTTAAAGTTAAAATTAAATTATGTTTAAATTAATATATAAAAATTTAATCATATTTAAAAAAATTTATGAACAATTTATTTTTATTTATCTTATTCTATAAATATTTATGAAAGTATTTGGATAAATTTATAAAATATTTTATAAATAGTATATAAGATGTTTTGAGTTTATTTTAATAAACAGTTCAATATAGTTTATTAATTAGTATATGCAATAATTTTCTTATTATAAAAGAAAAACTTGTAACTATGTTTTTTTTTTAAAATAGCATATTTGAAATAATTTTCTTGTTCATATTTATACAATAATTTTTTTAGTTTATAAAATATATATAGAATTTATTTTTAATTTTTAAAAATTATGACTATTAATTTTTAATCATAGTTATATATATAGAAAAATTAATTTCTTATATTTTATTATTAATTTTATTTTTTTATAAATTAAAATTAGGTGATATAAAGCAACGGTTTAGACGTGTAAATAATGACACTCTAAAATGTCGTAAATTACACAATAAAAAATAATTATATAGGTTAATAATGACAATTTTGAGCGCCATTATTTCCATAATAATATGGCGTGATCAAACTGTCATTATTATAACAATTTGTACATAAAAGTATGACGCTTCTAACTGTCGTAGTTTTCAAATAAATATTTTTTTTTCATCATAATTATTTATAAAAATTGAATTTTTAATTAAATATTTTAAATATTAAAAACACCTGTATATTTAAAATGTCATGATTGTGTGAAATCGAAGTAATCAACAACTCTTAAAAAATTCAACTAACCAAGTTCATTCAATATACTTCAACTTGTAATAACAAAATACAAAACATAAAGTTGATTCATTCATTACTTGTACTAGGGAAAACATAAATAGTTATATCAAACAGAGTCAAAGTACTTCATAAGTTTTAGATTCATTACATAAACTAAAGTAGCATTTTCTAATATACTAATGTGCCTAACTAGCCTTCCTTTGGCTACCCTCATTATCACCATTGCTTCCTCTTGATGATCCTCTTATGTTGTTTGGTGATGGAGCACCACTTCCAACATCTGATGCCTGAAATA